ACCGAAGGACCATTTGATGTGACAAGCTGAGGTGGACAGGAGGATTGAAGGAATGGGATGGATTTGGGGGTTAAGAACCGTCGTGACTACTATTGACTGAACTTAGTGGCTGTATTCCCTTTGGGCAGGTCTATCTCTTTGTGTATCAGTTTTCTTTGTAAAATGGGGTATGTACAGTACTCGGCATAGAGTAGGTGCTCAATGAAAAGCAACTGGGGGAATCATGTTCACTCAAAAATATAGCTTTATAAAGAAAATGTTGAAATTTTAAAACTGGTTATTTATTTTGAGACAAGTCTCATGGAGCTGGCCTTGACTCTCTCCTCCTGCCTCCACTTTCCGGGTGCTAGGATTACAGGAATCACCACCAAACTCACTCAGATGAGGTCTTTTTGTTTGTTTTGTATTCATCTTAAGGAAGCGTTGTTAAAATTTTTATTTGAGCTGGGCAGTGGTGGCACTCACCTTTAATCCTAGCACCCAGGAGGGACAGGCAGGAGGATCTCTGTGAGTTCAAGGCTAGCCTGTTCTACAGAGTGAGTTCCAGGACAGCCAGGTCTACAAAGAAGAAAACCTGTCTGGAAAAAACAAAATAAAACAAAACAAAAATTATCTGAAAATAAGCAATTTTTTCTTTCCTGTTGACTAGTTAAGTTTCTTTCTTTTGTCTTGCAAATAAGTGGGATCGATTCTGGGAAGAGCCAGTCCAGAATGGTACCTTTGTAAAGATGCTGACATGCCTGTATAGATGGGGATGAGGACAGGTGGAGAATCAGGATTCCTAACATTCTGTCATGTCGGGATGTGCCTTAGTTTGGGGCATGAATATGACTTGGCAACATCTATTTGTTTTATTGTCTTCTTTTTAAGACAGGGTCTTACTCTATAGCCCAAGTTGGCCCCAAACTCACGAGTCTAAGATTACAAGGGTGAGCTGTCATGTTCAGCTTACATTTCTTGACAGAGCATCAACAACTTAGAGTGAACCAACTTGAAGAGGTAGAAGTCTGCATCAAAATGTGGCTAAGCATATGCTTTGCATCTTCATGCAGATCTAGCCTAACGCCATTCTTTTAAAGATAGTCTTCCTCCAGCACTCCGTGTCTCAACCAATTCTATAATTACCTGAGCTTCAAGGCAATTGCCCATCTACACATAAGTTCAGTGAAACATCGGAAGCAGTAGTTGAATGAGTTGGGCAAAGATCTCTGTCATCCAAGTCTTAGGACAATAGTTAAGGGGTGGGAGTGATAGTGGAAAAGGTGGCTGTTTCCCAGTTCACATCATATTTTCTCTTTCTCTTCCTCTCTCCCCTTCCCTGCTCAACCTCCCTTCTCCCTCTCCTCTTCCTTCTTCCTGTCCCTGTCCAGGGCCTCACGGTATAGCCTAAACTAGCCTCTAATTCAGTCTTCCTGCTACAGTCTCTGAGTACCAGGATTACAGTTTTATATCACAGTGCTGGTTACTTTTAGTCTATTTGACACAAGCTGGAGTCATCTCTAAAGAGTGAACTTCCATTGAGAAAACACCTCCATCTATCACACTGGCCTATAGGCAAGTCAATGGAACTATTTTCTTGAGTAATGATTGACATGGGAGGGCCCAGTCCACTGGGGGCAGTGCCACCCCTGGGCAGGTAGTCCTGTGTGCTATATGAAAGCAGACTAAGCAAGCCATGAGGAGCAAGCCAATAATAAGTATTCCTCTAAGGCCTCTGCCTGCAGAGTCCTGCTTTGAGTTCCTGCCTTGATTTCTTTTGAGCATGACCTGTAACTTGTAAACCAAATAAACCCTTTGCTTTTGGTCAGGATCCCAAACTAGAACAACCATCATGCTCAGCTTCTAGTCAGCATGTTTGTTTTTTATTATTTGCCAGATTTTATGTACACACACACACACACACACACACACACACACACACACCATGACATAAAAGTAAAACTCTTTAGAGGTATTAAAGGGACTAATGGCAGGCAGAGAAAGGGGAGGGTAGGGTCATATGGAGAGAGCATGATCAAAGTACATTACAGACTTACATGAAAATGTCTTTGTGAAATCTAACACTATGGACAGTGAGTATATGCCAGTAACAAAGAGGAATGGGGAGGAATCACTTTCAGATAATGTGATAATTACAGAGAGGCAGATGTATTTGTCTACCACAAGAATCAGTTTTAAGGCTTTTTGTTTTTCCTGGTTAGCCTACACCAAAACCAATACTTTTCTCTGTTATGTGTCAAGACTAAACCAATATACTGAGTCTAACAACCCCATCAAGACTTTTAACTTAATATTTAACTAAGACTAAATTACAGATTCTCCTTCAGAGGGATGGGGCAGAATCCCGGACGCCTGATTCTATTGCATTCCGTGCAGGTCATAGGGGGTTTCAATCTGGCTATTGTTGGCTCCGCTAAAAGACTCATTAATCTCAAGTGAGAACCAATTTAACAAGCTGAGAAGTCTTTTGAAGTGGCTGGTGGGAGCAGTTTAAACAGAGGATTAGGAGACAAGCACATTTCGAGTCATCTTTTGGCTCTACAAAGTTGACCCCAGGCTGGGGAGGGGGAGGGGGACAGTATGTGTATGTGTGTGTGTGTGGGTGTGGGGTGGGTGTGGGTGTGGTGCAGGGCCTCTTCCACACCTCTCTAAGCAGGTGGCAAGCTCCTCTGTGACACAATCAGGAGGCAGTCGTCGGAAAGGCGTCATCAACCCTGCAGTGATGTGCAGGACTGCTTTATAAACCATACCACACCCTTCAGCAGTAAGACCCTGCCAGGCTTGCAGGCTCTGGTTAAATGTGGGGTTCAGAGCTGCTCTGTGCTACTGGTATCAGCTAGCTAGGTGTGAGTAATCAGACAGAGAAAGGAATGCTGTAATTTAACCTGAGCTCTCCATTGTAAGCTCATTTGTTGAGAGAGTTCAGGATCCCAAGGGCTCCCTGGAAAGAACATTGTGCTTTTCTGGTTTTCCTTATTGCCAAGCTGTGACAATAAGGAAAAAAATGGTGTACACTTGCCAAGTCATCAAGCTTTTTCTAAACTGCCCTTTCAATTGTATTGCGTACAAGCAGCAGACAACCCACAAATTATTTAACATTAAGTTCGGCATTGATTTCAAGAGAACTATTTGATACTGCAGGGGACTCGTGATACGAGACAGAAGTCAGCGATGATGGCCTAGCACTTTGCAAAAGCATCTATGTCATTCCACCCATTCTTTATGCTTTTTCTTCCTCCTGCACACCACAGAGGGTCCTCTTTAAAATGCCACATACATGGCATGTGTGTGACCATGCGACAAGCCTCCAGGGATCTCTGGCTGTGTCCTTTCAGCTTAAATCAGTGGAGACTGTGGGCTAGAGTCACTAAGTGCCTTGAACAGGGTTTCGATTCTGGGTTTCATCACTGTGGTAGTTTGAACGTATTTAGCCTCCATAATCTCATAGGGAGTGGCACTATGAGGAGGTGTGGCTTTACCGGGGTGGGTGTGGCCTTGTTAGAGGAAGTGTGTCACTGTGGGGGCGGGCTTTGAGGTCAGTCGACTTCCTGTTGCCTGCACGCTGCAGCACTCTCAGCTCCAGCACCAGCTCTGTGTGCATGCTGCCATGCTCCCCGCCGTGATGATAATTGATGGAACCCCTGAAACGGTAAGTGAGCCCCCTCAACTAAATGTTTTCTTTATTAGAGTTGCTGTGGTCATAGTGTCTCTTCACAACAATAAAAAAAAAAAAATCTAACTGAGACAATCATCCAAGTCTCTTTTGTTTCAGAGCCTGATCCACAGCACTGGCAGCCCTGTCAGTCATCTCTGCCTTACCCCTACCCACAGTTGTTTGCACCAAGAACAGACAGTCTAAGGGACTGGCCAGACGTGGATGGCTTTGTGGGACTGAACTATATTATGAGCTACCTACAATTGTTTTGAAACATTCCTAGCTGACAGCAGGAGGTAAGAGGGGACAGTCACAGCCGAGTTGTGCCTGACAACCAAACCATTCTCTATTGTCAGTCCTTGGATGCTGTGGTTCCTGGATTCCCTATATGCTTAGAACAGACCCCACTTCTCTGAATGAGTTTGAGTGGCCCCATGTTGCTGAAAATAAAACCACACTACCCTTGTCACATCAGCCAGGTGCAGCCTACAAGCTGTGATGGTAGTGTGAACAAACCCTCTTCTCCCTCCACCAGGGACATGTCGTCTTGCTTCTGATCAGGGAGATACAATCAAAAGTCATGAATCATTAGGGGAGAAGTTGGGGTTGCTTATAAACTTCCAGAATCAACAAAGGGCTTATACTATAATCAGAAAAATGGAAATGGTTTAGCTATAATTACACATACCTCCACACATATGTGTACATTTGCAAGCACATGCACATGCCACACCCACAAATGCCCATGCAAAACAACAACAACAACAAACCCACAAACAAAAAACAAAAACATCAACCCAGGACTTTCTCAAAAACATGACTAAGAGATAGGGCACTAAGGAAACAGAGGAGGTTCTTGTTATATTCCCAGACTTGTCACAGCTGTCCCCTGTGTTACTCCCTAGGCAGGCACTCCACCTAGGATGTTTTCATCTCTCCAGTGTGTGAAGACTGGAGTTATTGCTTTCCAGTGCTCAGGAATTCTGGTCTACAGCTTCCAGTTAGATTCTGACCAAATTTTATTAATATAGCCTTAGAAGGTTTTACCCCACACCCCACTGAGGTTCTTACAAAGCTCCTTTGTTTGCTGCTTATCATCTTACCTCTCTTCTAGCCTGTTTACTTACAGGAAGGGGTACATCAAAGAACATGAAGTCCCAGGTTGACTCTGGTTCTTGCAAACAAGATGCACTTACATTTTATGAAGCAGACTAGCCAGCAAATTCTCCTGCAAGTAGTTTTAAGGAAGAAAGACCACCTGTGCAAGATACTTGAGTAACAAGGCTGGTAGTCACCTTAGATGTGTCTGTGCTGAGTAAATAGTAATAATGACAAAAATACTTACAACCCATATCATGACCAATCTTCTGGACAAGTAAGGATCGATATTCCAGTGGGTGAATGGGAGGAACGTGATGTAGAACACTTCCTGTCCCAAGGCGGCTGAAAACCGGAACAGGTAATAGTAGAAATAGTTCTTCACAATGGGCTTTTCTACGTAAGCCTGCAAGACAAAGGCCAGGAGTTCTTGAGTTCATTCAGCATGTCTGGGAAAACCTCGCCTGAAACTCACCACCAGGGTGCTGCCTCCTCCTGTTACTGTGGTCTCATTACCACCAGCCTGTATCATTGCTGAACATCTGCCAGCCCTGGCTTGTAAACATAGGAGACGTAGGGTTTTCCTTGTTGTTGCTGTTTGTTTTGTTTTTAAGATTAAATATGTAGCACCAAAGGCAGGCGTACCAGGAGAAGCTCCCCTCTCCCTCCATACATCCGTTTACACATATAAAACAAACCAGAGCCTCTATTTTGTGTGTCTAGAAGGATAGAAACCTGTAGGAGATCCAGAGAGGGCCAGTACCATATGAGTTGCTGAAATTCAGAGGGAAAAAAATGGGGTTTCTCTCAAAGATGTCCATTCATCCCATCCAAGTACCAACCAGGCCTAACCCTGCTTAGTTTCTGAGATCAGGTGAGAGCAGACACATGCAGGGTGGTATAACTACAGACTCCATCCCTTAAGCTCTAGAACACATGGATATGTTGCCTTATAGAACAAAGGGGCATTGCAAATACAATTGGGCAATGAAGAGGGCGGGGGAGGGGGAGAGGGAGGAATGATTTCCTGGATCATCCATGTGGGCTCTGAAGTCGCAGGGATCCTTCACAAGATGGAGCGAGGGTGTGGCACTAGGCTTTTTGGTCTGTCTTTCTAGCTCGTGAGCCCATATTGACTGTTGGGCATGTTTTTTTCCCATTCTTACTATTCTGTCTCTATTTCCAACACTTAAGATAAAGAGGAGGAAGGAGGCAGAAATGTCAGAATCAAAGAGCTAGGTGTAACACTGCACAGCTAGCTTTGAGGATAGAGAAAGGTGCCACGAGCCAAGGAGGGCAAGGCATGTATTCTCTGAAAGCTTAAAGCAAGGAAACAGATTCCTCTTCTGTCGCCAGGAGGAATCAGGACCTTGGTGACACACGACTTCCATCAGAAAAGGTTAGTTTTAGACTTCTCACTACAGATGGCTGAGAGATTAGGTTCCTGTTGCCTTAAACCACTAAATTAGTAGTAACTAGTTTCAGTAGCAATAGATCCCTTACCCAGGGATAAGGTGTTGGGAGAAGCACCTTAGGTTCACCTTTTAAATAGGACTGAAAAAGTTACACCACAGGATTGGTGTCAAAATGCAGACAGTCCACGTGGGGGAATGTTAAAATGCTCTGCCATTTTGTCACCTCCTTGCCATCACCTCATCCTGGAACAGGTAAAAGGGGAAAGTGCCAGGACTAAGCAGATAATGAACCTTAATACAATGTGTGACTGATTTGTCATCTTGTCACAATCTAGGCGCTACACCGTGTTGGCCTGTGTGAGATTGTCTTTAATTAAATCAGTTGATGTGGGAAAGCAAGTCCACTGTGGGCGGCACTGCTCCCTAGACAGGGAGTCCTGAACTGTTCAGTGGTGGAGAAATGGAGCCCAGCATTAACAAGCAAGGATGTTTACATCCATTCTCTCTGCTCTTGGCGTTGTCTTCACTACCCTACAACAACAGACTTATAACCTAGACTCGTAAGCTGAAATAAACCATTTTCTCCATATTTGCTTTTTGGTATAGTATTTTGTCATAGCAACAAAAAATGAAAGTAGAACACCATGGTAAACATTTCTGTATTAGAGCGTATCAGTGGCAAATGTAATGACATTTCACTTTGTTAAGTGAACCAAAAAAAAAAAAAAAAAAAAAATCTCTTTTCTCTGTCTTCCCCCTCCCCCTTTTCTGGTGGTGGCAGGGTCTCACTAAATATGCAACCTGACAGTGAGCCTCCTAGGCTTTCCGAATGCTAGGATTACAGGTGTAAGACATGATGCCAGATTTAAAAAGTAGAATTTTAATGCAACTGAAAGTCATACACATTCCAAAATTGAAATGCAAACACTGAGCATAAGGAGGGGGACAGCATTAGACTTAGAGGTCCCATGAAGACATATAGGCCTGCAATTTTGTTCCGTTTTAGCCAAGTCAGAGGTCTTTGACTTATTTGTGTTGTGTGTGTGTGTGGGGAGTCTTATGCACTTATTCTGAAGACATTCACCCCCTGCCTGTAAGGTTCCACTGCTTACACTGTGACCTGGGAGAAGGTATGGCAGGAATTCTCATCAGCCGAGGGGCACTATGTAAGATAATTTGGAGGAAATAAATTGTTAAAAGGCTAGTGTTTTAGAGAACTTAAAAACAGTCAACAATACTTTTATATTTTAGGCATTTTAAAAAAGATGACCTTGAAAATTGAATAAATTACTGTTGGTTCTTTGCCAGGTTTGTTTCTCTCTTCTTTTCCTCTCTGAAAGGCTCTGGTTTTTATTCTAGCACCTCAGCCTCCACAACAGCATCCTGGAACCCAGGGGCAAAGTTCAAGGCTTTTTGCATCAGGAGGGAATCTAGAGTCATCAGAACCAGGCATGGTTAGTGTGAGAATTCAGTCTCAAATAAAAAGTGCACAAGGGTTGTGTTATGAGCAGTTTTCCTGCCAGCCTGGTCCCAGAGCTGTGTTAGCTCCAAATAACACACAGAGATGCTGTACTAGCTATAAAGCTGTTGGCCTGTTACTAGCATTTCTTATTGGCTATCTTAAATATTAACCAATTTCTATTCATCTAAGTGTTTCCACGTGGTCTTATTTTACAGAGAGGGTCTGGACCTCTTTCTCTCAAGTCCCTACATCTTGACTTTCCCACTACATTTCCCAGAATCCTATTTTGCTTTCCTATTGGCCAACAGTGCTTTATTTATTAACTAACAAGACAGACATATGTACAGAACGACATCTCCCATCAAGGTTGCCCTGAATATGGCTCCTGGTAGCAATAGCACATCCTGTAGGTTAAAAGAAATTTACTTCTAAATGAATTTAGAGAGAATGGAAGTAGAACAAACTCTAAACAAGAAAGACAATGCTACATGAAAGGAGTTTTCCAGGTAACATCTCTGAATACATAACTAAATAACTTGAAAGCCAGGTTTTACCACTATAGTCTTAGTTGTAGATACCCAGGTAATGTGGTAAATGCTTATCTTTTTGTAAACAGAATCTGAGTTTCTGAGCTGGGCATGTGGTTCACTGGCTGAAGCATTTGCTGTGCCAATGCCCTGAGGACATGCGTTGAGATCTCTAGGACCCACTTAGAGCCAAGCGTTTCTTGAACATCAGTAATCCCAGCACTCCTATGGTAAGAGGGGAGGCAGAGACAGGAGAGTTCAGAAGCTCCTGGACCAGGGAACCTACAGTACAGAGCAGTGCTCAACAAAGAAATGCAGTCTCAAACACAGTGGAAGGTGAGGACAGACACTGCAGGTTGTTCCACTCAACCCCCATGGCACGGGCGAGGCTCATTCACACAAACACAGATGTTATTTTAAAGTAGGAGAATATGAATTTCCCTTGAAGGAGATATCGGTGTGTAGAAGCAGAATTCCATCTCTTGGGTGTGTGGGTCTCCTCTGGAGAACCACTACAGGGGCAATAACAAGGGTTAGAAATAGAGATGGTGGGTAAAGGGAGATGAGAAGAGAGGACAGATCTCTGCTTCCCTGTTCCCACTTTGCCTCATGTAAGGGGCCCTTTAGCCCAGGTGTTTGGGCGCTGTTTTGAGATCCTGGTCTAGGAGACAAAGATCAGCCTGTCATGTTACAGACAAGAGTCAGGCAGTACTGAACATGAACATGCAGGCTGACAGAGAACAGCTCTTAAAATGTTTGAGTACTTGTCCTTGGCATCTGTTTGTCCTTGGTGTGTGACTTCCGTACTGTGGTTTTTTCCCCCCTCCCTTCCAGTTTAATACATGTTAGGGTTTTTTTTCTGTTATTAAAAAAAAGCCAGATGCATTTTAGCTGTATATCATCTGTCACACAGCCAAATAAGAATGAGTGTCTGGTAAACAAGGGTGATAAAATAGAAATTACCCCCACAGGCATTACTCCAGACTGCGAAATGTCATTGATTTTTCTCATTAGTATGTTTTATGGATTGCTTGTGTTTTCCTAGGGCATTTTAGTGTGTGTGTGTGTGTGTGTGTGTGTGTGTGTGTGTGTGAGAGAGAGAGAGAGAGAGAGAGAGAGAGAGAGATCTCAGTTTCCTAATCACATATTTCCTGTTTGACCATGAATTCTCTAAGTGCATATTCCCCTCCATCAGGGTCCCATCATGGTGATACAAGGGGGCTGCTGGTGTTCACAGGCAGTCCATCTTCTGCAAGGCTACAGTGAGTGAATAAGAAGGTGAGAAGGGACCAGGGTGACTGCCTGAGTGAGACAGACAGAGGTCAGAATGAATGGCTTCTTGACTCAGCTCTATTCAGAATATCTGAGCAGCATTTTGTTTTCTAAACACAAACCCAGGGGTCCTAAATGTTAAGGATATTCACCCAGGTCAGCATGACTGAATTATAAGAAGGGCTAACCCAGGCAGCAGAGAGGCAAATACCCAGCAGACCTGACAGCTTGCCCAGGTCTTCAGAGAAGGAACATCAGAAATGGCTTTTAGGCCAACTGAAGTGTGACCTTGGGGAAGTCCGTTTGCCATTCTGACCCGTGCTGACCTTAATGGTGAAGAATGTAAAGGACAGAGTAGATTGGCTCAGTTTACTTACTTTTTAAGCATCTACCCTGATTTCAAACTGACATCCTCCTGCTTTGCCTGATCTAACTATTGGGTGAGTGCCACCACACCTGGTCTCAGTTGCTTTTTCTTTCTTTCTTTTTTTCTTTCTTTTTTCTATCTGATTAAAATGGGAGGGGGGAGGAGGAAAGAGCTCATTAAATAAGATGTTGCCCCCCACACACTGTTACATAATGATATAAGACTGAATTGAATGTCTGTCCTAATAGGTTGAGCGTGAGGAAGGGCCTGGGGAAGCTGACTTGGGCCACGTTTCTCTTACTCCTCCAAAGCCCTCAGCAACACCCTTCAGGGCAGTTTGGCAATTAGTTTGAAAACCACTGAGCTTAGTGTCTCTTCCTGGCA